TTTTTTTTTTTTTTTTGGTTAGTTGGTTGGTTGATTTTGTGGGAATTGATTCTGAAACAAGATTTCCCAAGTCCCAGGCTCCAGGCTGGCCTTGAAAGCTCTATGCATGGTGGCACATGCCTTTAATCCCAGCACTCAAACAGAGGCAGGCAGATCTCTGTGAAGGCCAGCCTGGTCTACATAGTGAGTTCCGGGACAGCTGGGGCTACCGGGAGACCCTGTCTCAAAAAGACCATAGGACAAACTGCTCTTTTTCGCTTCGGTAAACTGCTTGACTGCTTGGCTGAGGGACCAACTGCCTTGATCTCATCCCATTTTTGACTAGCTGTTTCAGGCAAGCCTGAACATACCCAGGCATGCTGTAATCTCCACCTACCACCCCCACCCCAAGAGGCTGTAAGATCAAGCAAGCCCAGGCCTATGGCAGCCTTATAAGGTAAAAACAGAGACTTCTGGCCCCACAGGTAACAGTCAGCACATTCCACAGCCCTGAGAATAGCACCTACCAATAAGAAACTTCCAGGGCTGCATCTTGTACATCCAATCGGTTTAAAATTATGTTGGCGCGCACCCTGGGCTCCTTGAACCAACCAAAATGTATCTTCGGTATCTCCCCCCCACCCTTTTGTCTAAACCTATAAAAGGTTCCACTCTCCCTTACTCTGGGCTCTCAACATGGATCCATTGAGTTGGTGAGGTCTGAGAGCCCGAGCTTAAGCCCGAATAAACCATAAACCTTTGCTTTTGCATTTTGGTGTGTTGGGTTCTCGGTGGTCTCTTTGGGGTCCAGTGGATGGAGTACAACAGACCCTGTCTCAAAAAGACAAAAAAGAAACTTTCCTGGGGAATTTTTTTAAGGGAGGAAGGATTAGAACAAGCAATGATAGCCGGACTTGGTGGCACACACCTTTAGTCCCAGCACTCGGAAGGCAGAGGCAGGCGGATCTCTGTGACTTCAAGGCAAGCCTGGTCTGCATCGTGAGTTCTAGACCAGCTGGGGCTACAGGGAGACCCTGTCTCAAAAAGACCAAAAACAAAAAACAAAAACAAGTAATGATATTAAATAACAACCAAAAATTCCTGAGAACAACATTTATATTTTTAAAATGTCACACAGAGCAGTCTGCAGAGGAGTTACTATAGGTCAAACCCTAAATGCACAGTCATGCTTTTTGTCTGAAAATATTTCTAAAGCATGAGCTGAGAAACTTACTAAACATGTTCTTCCTTCAATATTAAACAAATGAGAGAACTGCAGAAAGTAGAACTGTAAGGTCTTACACGACTCAGTTACTTTAAAAGAAAAACAAAATCCTGGCTGTCCTGATGCATGCTTATAATCCAACACTTGATAAGAGGAGGCAGTAAGATCATCCTCAGCTACATAGGGAATTCAAGGACATCCTGGGCTACATGAGACCATGTCTTAAAATTTTAAAATGGAGCCAGATATGGTGATATATGAATATAGTCCCAGCTGCTCAGGAGACGAGCCAGGAGCACCACTTGGGCCCAAGAGTTTAAGGCCAGCCTAGGTAACACCCCAAGGTAATACCCCAAGGTAAAACCCCAAGAAACAAAATGAAACAAAATTGTAACACAATAATTAATATTGAAAGGCAAAACTGGGGGGGTCATAAAAAGGCAGCTCAGTAGTTAAGAGCATTAGCTGCTCTTAAAGAGGACCCAGACTCCATTCCCAGCACCACATGGTGGCTAACAAGTCTGTAATTCCAGTTCCAGGGGACCCAACATCCTCTCTGGCTTCCATGGGCATTGTATGCACATGGTGCACTTATATACATGCAGGGAAACACACATGAAATAAAAATAAATCTTTTTTTAAAAAACTGAGGAAATAATATTTATAAACTGTGGCATGACTACACCAACATTATAGTTACATGAACAAATAGCCTAACTCTTAAATTTAGTTTTTAAGAGTGGGCCCAAACTTGGGGGACACTCTACCCCTAGGTATATCTTAGAACCACCTGTCTTCTGGAACTGTGCTGATGGGACTGTCTCTGTTCTGAAACTGGGTCCTGAGTCTGGCCCCACCCATAATTTTATTCAAAATTGTTTCTCCAGTTTCAACTGGGGAAGAACAAGCTTGGTTACCCCCCCCCATTAATCGTTTTTTTTCTTTTTTGGTCTTTTTTTTTTTTTGGTTGATAACATTTTAATAAGTTGGTTTTTGTTATATAACATAAATGGAGTCTTAATGCAGTAAGGAGAGCAAGTAAATGAAATCTTATCTATTAAAGTTTGACATGCAGATCCTGATGTACTGTGGTGGCAACATGAGGAAAACATGGAGGCTTAGTGGAAAAGCCATCTTTTTAAATTTAAATCTGTCAGATTACTAACAACTTGTATGTCTTGATTAGTAAGAGTCCAACATCGTATTGTTTTACAGCAATATTATATAATTATTTTTTATAATTAGAAGA